TCTATAATAAAAGAACTCTTCATTTTGTTTTGCGTTCAGAAGAGATAAAATACTGAATGCCGTTTTCTCATTGTGCAGCTACTTCATGACAGTTGCCATGTCCCTGTGATCGTCGTAGGGCAAGTTTTTTTAAGGGCTTTTATGTAATTTTCGATGTCCTACACGAAAAAAGTATCGACATTTTTTGGGTTTTTATGTCATATAATGGTGGGCGGACTTGAATGAAGATACCATAGTACAAATGTACGCTCGGAACTTTTTTGTTATGTAATTAAAGACTTACATTATGCGGACATGTCTACGGATGTCTGCAGACCGCTATTGATTACGTGAACATGGGCTTAGACACGAGAAAGACAATTGGAAGTTTTTCTCTGCGGTGTTTAAGACCAATTAGGTTTCCAGCAAAAAGGAAAGCGAAGGCTTTCATACAACCTCTGCGGCGGAACTGGGGTTCATTTGGGAAGATTCCGACATCTTTTGGGCTTCATGCGTAATTCCCGACGAACTGTTATATGGCTACTTAAGCTATTATGTGGAAAAAGTGGGGAAAAATCTGACGGACTGATGAATTTCGTGCATAAAAAACAAGTGCCAAATAATATAATTCGATTTCTATTTCATTCGAAAGTGCGTTAAAAAAAACAGCAATAGCATATAACTTTCTCATTTGGCATTAGCTGGTAAGAAGAACCATTAGGAAACAAGCTAATTTGTAAACAAAACTAAGACTGATAATAGAAAAAGACCGACTTTGATATAATCAAGCTTTCAAATAACTAGGTCAAATTTTGCAGTGTGATTGACGTAGATGATGCGCTTTAGGCGTTCCCACGGATTACTGAATAAAACGTTTATTGGTCTATTCTATCTTATTGAATAAACTATAGGTAGGAGAGAATGAGAAATGAATGAGTCATAATAAAAATCATGAAACAAAGGATGAATTAGAAAGGAAGACAGTTGACATGAAAAGCGCTTGTATTGAACGAGTTTCGATGAACAGACTTCCTCATGATCTTTTGCGGCGAAAATCTCTGTGCGTGTTTTGTTTCAGGACATAGTATGATAATACTAAACCTGCGTACTTTTTCACCGCATGCCTTCTCTGTCTATAGAGTGCACGGAGGCTTTGTTTTCGATCAGCGTTTTTTCCGACTAAAATCTAAAATTCGACGTTACTGCAATCTTAAATACTGGAAAGTCTAACTCTCTGAAACATCTTGTGAACTATTGACTTTTGATGGTTTTATCAGAGGCGAAACGTAATGGTAGCCTCCTGAATAATGCTTTACATCGAAATTTAACTTTTCAAAGACGCTTAACTTTATTCACGTAAAGTAAGTGTCGTCTAAGATTATCGATCGACCTATAACAACAATGACTCAAGCCAAACAATTAAAAAGGATAGTAATAAAAAGACAACAGAAATAAACAATAGAACAAATATGAAAGTAAAATGAAAACAACAAGAAAAAGAAAAGAAAACTAACACGAGCAGGAGATGACTAGTAAAATGCGAAATGTTTACTGTAAAAGATGTTGAGATAGAACTCTTTTAAATGATGACAAGAAAGAGAAACGATTACTGTTTCTAGTAGTTTATTCCAGTCATGGAGACGTACAGCAGTGTAGTGCGGATGATAAACAGGGTAAAAGACAGCAGGAGGACTCAGACGATGATATATTTTAAAAAACTGTATAAGTTTAAAGTGTTTGCGGTAACGAGAGAGAGTCGTGACACAAGTAAAAAGACAGAAGTCGAAGATTTGTCTGTATTTACTAATGAGCAGTACAACTCGCATTTAGTTTAATGATGGAAAAATAGCATGAGGGATGCTCAAACTTCAACAAGACAAAAAGAATAATTTATTGAATTTGTTCAACAATTGGATTTTGATGAAAAAACTATCGTGTACAGCCAGAAATCTCTCGTAAAGTGTTTAAACTACACTGAAAATGTTTGTGAAACGAATGAAATTGATCTCATTATTAAGAGTCGTTGTCTGTACAAATGAATCTTTTTCATTTTCTGGACACATAATGGTGGTATGGTGACAATTTCATAGTATTCTGACAACTTCACATCATACCTTTGAGCGTACTTGCATGATTATGATCATTGTTATGACATCGTAATTTATACATATTGACTTTGTAATCGATACTAAGTTGCATTTCTATTTTTTTATGATTTTAGATGAATAGTGTTCGCCGGTTTCATTCGTCTGTAGCACGTACGCTATTTTCATCCGATTCTCCCTCATCCACTTTCAATAATTCTCGCACCGAGGATTTTCCCATTTTAAATCGTCATTTGTCATCGTATCAACGGTTTGATTTATCTGGTCAACAGCAAGATTTTACAGCATCTGTCAATGCAAATATTAGTGACAATCAAACTACTGATATAGTTGAAATACATACTTCTGGAGGAGGCGGAACAATGACGCCAACATCCGATTCAAAACGAACATTACGTACAGGTATACACTCATCTCATCATGGTAGATTTATTTCAGAGAACTAGTTTCGTTTGTTTTCTCCTTTAGTGCCGGGTGTATTTTGTCCAATAGCTTTGTCTATGTTTTCTATTGTACTATTTATGCGACTTGGATTTGTTATTGGTCATGCTGGTGTTTTACAAACGTTGCTACAATTTGGACTATGCTTTGTTATATTGTTTGCCACATTATTGAGTGTTTGTGCAATAGCGACCAATGGTGCCATTGAAGGCGGAGGAATTTATTATATGATTAGTCGAGCATTAGGACCAGAATTCGGTGGAGCTATTGGAGTTTTATTCTTTTTTGCGAATGTAATTGGCAATGGACAATGTGTGGCAGCATTAGTCGAAGCATTATTAGTTAATTTTGGACCAGGAAGTATGTATACACATAAATCTGTTGAATAGCTTGAGAAATATGTTGTTATCCAAACTTATAAACTATTTTTTTCTTCTAAGGTAAAGCCAATGCATTTTATGATGGGCGTTGGTGGCGGTTTTTGTATGGAACACTGATTAATTTATTGAATTTAATTGTTTGTCTGTTGGGTTCAAGTTTATTTTCAATGGCAACATTTTTTATTTTTATCTTGGTCTGTTTCATCTATTTGATGGTTGTCGTCTCGTTTTTTGTCAAAGGACCTGTAGCAGTTTCAATACCAAAAGTAAATACTTACTTTTACAGTCATTTACTACCAAATCAAAGTACAGAAGCCACTTATACGGGATTCAGTTCAGCAACAATGAAGGAGAATACATATTCAAATTATACAATTGATTATACAACCGGAGAAATGATGAATTTTGCTACTGTGTTTGGAGTGTTATTTAGTAGCATAACTGGACTGTTAGCAGGAGCTAATATGTCGGGTATTGTCTACTTTAAATATTCTATATCCTATAGTCATTATATGAATATGATATTTTAGGTGAATTAAAACGACCAAGTCGAAGTATACCAATCGGATCAGTAACGGCATTATTATTTGTATTTTTTATTTACATTACAGAAACATTACTAATTGCTGGAACAACATCACGGTAAGTTTTAAATTCTATAGCTTAAAGTAGATATAGTCTAATCTTTCAAAAATCTGAAGATATAGTTTTTGGGATATTCATTTTTTTCTTTTATCATCAATAAAGGATAATTGTGACAAATAAATTGTGATCAGTATTTTAAAGATTATTTATTTCTTAACTAACATATAACAGGCAAAGCAAATGTGTAATGTGAAGAAAAAACAACGCATTTAAAAAAGCTGTATTAACTTTATTTTTTCGTTTCCGTAATGGGTGAATACGTGTTTTATCACTAACTTGAATAAAATCACTAATCCGATCGTTGGCTTGGCATGTCTATTGTTTCCTATCAACTAAGCATGTGCAGATCTATAATGATACTACTAACCAACAGGATTGTTACCATATCAAAAAAACATTGGATATGAGTTACTAATGAGACCAATAAATATCGAACTAAGGCAACGATTGGATTAACGATTTTATTCAAGTTAGTGATAAAACACGTATTCACCCATTGGAGAAACGAAAAAATAAGAGACCTTCAAAGAAAGTTAGCTTTTTTAAATATGTTATTTTTTCTTCACATCATACATTTTTTTTGTATATTATATGCTAGTTGAGGAATGAATAATCTTAAAGTTATTTATCACAATCTTCTGATCAATAGTAGGTTTATTAATCATTTCATCTTATATTTTTCTTTATTTAGTGAGGCGTTATTAAATAATTATTTATTTTTACAAGATATCAATATTTGGCAACCATTCGTGGTTATTGGTATCATTGCATCTGTCTTCTCGGCTTGTCTATCGGGTCTCATTGGAGCATCAAGAATATTAGAAGCATTGGCTATCGATGAAATATTTGGTAAGTTAATCTAATTCGCTGATAGAAACGATATGGTAAAATGAATGAGTTTTTTTTTTTTAACTAGTCTTAGTTTTGAGGGTGTCGTTAAATTTGCTTTTGTATTTTGTAACCATTTACAGATCTGAAATTTTTTCGTCCTATTGATAAACAAACTCTAAATCGATATTATCGACATGCAGGTACTTTATTAAACAACAACAAAAAAACAAAAATGCTAAGTATCGCTAGATTTTTATAGCGTTTTATTTTCTTATAGAATAGATTTTTTTAATGATATTATATTGTATCGACAAGTAGTATGCTTCGTTTGTTATTTTGCTTATTGAAAAAATCATGTTTTTTGTTGAGCTCATGCTTAATTAAGCCAAGATTGTTAAACTTTTCTGCGATCATCTGGTTATACATCCCGAATGTGTGACCTAAGATAGAAGTTTAGAAATCAATTGTACATTACAACAATTAATTATTTAGCTCATATCTACAATTAAATAATTGAGTATTTACCACCCTGAATTAATTTTAAGCATAATGACATATATATTTTATCGATTGTCCGGCTATTATTTATAAAATTTAGTGATATGATATATTTAGAATTATTTTATCTGTTCATTTATAGGTCCAGTGTTGCGTTGGATTCGTGCTGGTACAACACGTGGTGGTAATCCTTGGGCTGCCGTAATGTTTTCATTCATTCTAGTTGAAGTCTGTATTTTTTCGTTTTTCTTTTCAACTTTTGTCATCATTGCGTTTGTACTTGTTTTAGTTAACATTGTTAGGGGGCTCAATGAATTCTATTGCTCCAATTGTCACCATCTTTTTCTTATTGGCTTATTTTGCTGTTAATTTATCTTGTCTCGCACTCGACTTAGCTAGTGCACCTAATTTTCGGTTTGTATTTTTATACATTTCTTTCAATTTTTTTAAATATATTTATTGTTTCAGACCCTCATTCAGATATTTTTCCTGGCATACTGCTATATTGGGAACTGTTGGTTCCATTATTATGTGTTTTATTGTTTCACCATCATTTGCATCAATTGCTATTGGAATATTAATTGGTCTTATTGCTATGCTACATTTGCGAGATTTTCCACGAGCATCATGGGGTTCGATTAGTCAAGCATTAATATTTCATCAAGTATGTTTACCGTCATCAAATAAAATGATATAACTTTTAGTTCGTTTGTTTAGGTTCGAAAATATTTGTTGTTACTTGATCCACGCAAAGAACATGTTAAATTTTGGCGTCCACAAATGTTGCTGCTCGTATCGAATCCTCGTTCAGCTATCAATCTCATTGATTTTGTCAATGATATGAAAAAAGGTGGTTTGTATATTTTGGGTCATGTGAAAATTGGCGGTTATAGTGAAGATACTGGTGATGCATGTACAAAAGAATATCCATTCTGGTTAACTCTGATTGACAATATGAAAATAAAAGCTTTCGTTGATATGACATTGTCATCGTCAATTCGAGAAGGTGTTTTACAATTAATCAGACTATCCGGACTAGGTGGTCTACGTCCAAATACGGTTATACTTGGTTTCTATGATAATATTGTACCCGAAGATAAATTACGTAGTCGGATGTTTTCACGAAAACGATGGAAAAAATATGGTACACCTATTGGAATTGGAGCATCTACAACTACTCAACAGGGTCAGCCAAGTGTAACAAGTGCAAGTACATTAACATTACATTCAGTGAATAGTGCAACAGTGATGAATGGTGCAGAGATGTATCCGATTTTCAATTTTGAAGGTAAAAAATGTTTGTAAAAAATACACTTTGATTAATACTGCGTGCTTTTTTAGAACTTCGTCAAGAAAATGAGGATAAAGAATTAGATTTACATTCATACGTACAGATCATAAAGGATGCCTTATATTTGAAGAAAAGTGTGTGTCTGGCAAGAAATTTTCACCGATTACAAAAAGAGGATATTGAATTATTTAAACGAAAAGTATTCGTCGATATATGGCCAGTAAGTATTTATATTTTTTTTATAAATATAGTCGAGACATATAAAATTGTTGTAGAAAAAGAGATAGAACGTCCTGTATCTCTTCTATACTAAATCACTGTTGAAATTAGAGATCTGCACGGGCTGCCCGTGAAGATCTGTAGTTGCAATCCATGTATGACATCCAGTAGTTCTAAAAGAGGTTCCAGATGTTGAATTTTACCATTTTTACACGCTTCTTCTTTTTCCTCCTCCCTTGAAACAGACTTCCTTTAATAATATTTAAAATTATCGCTGATGCCTTTTTTTTCATATCGATTCACTCAAAGATCAGATAGCAATGTTTCTTTACGTTGTCTGTTTGACGTGAACAAAACATTATTTAAAGAGAAAGTGCCCCATCCCATAGTGTGCATTCAAATGTACATTTAGCAAAAAAATCAGAGTGCGGCATTTTCAAACCTAAGTATAGAAAACTAAACTTCAACATATGGGTCACATACTCCCAAACAGTTTTGTATTCTAACTACTAAGGATCTAATACTTTGACAAAAATTAGCCTGAAAACACATAAGAGTGTGGTGAAATAAGTTTTTCATTAAAGCCAACTAAGTCCAAAACACATAACGACACAAACGAAATAGATTATGAATCTAGGCTCCTTTCTGGCTAAATTAACAAAAACATTTCTCATTTTGGGCGAAATTTGACCAATACAAGACCGATTTTTCGAAAAAAGTGATTTTTTTTTCTGAAAATGTTTATTTTTTCTTCAGAAGCAGGAACGTTGACTAAGCGATAATAATTATTGATGACAAAATAGTTTACGAACAAAAAAATTCTGATGTCCACCTGCTATTAGAAAAATGCTCACTGTGCTCCTCCACAATGCTCCCCCTAATTTCATTAAATGCTGATTCATTCGTTTGTTTAAAGTAATAAAATCACCGATAAAAATATATTGAGTACATCATGTTTTGAATTCAACTGACAAGTTTCTAAAAATGTACATCTATTTCATTTTACAGTCTAAGTTGTAGTTCATTATCATCAGAAGTCATATTGATATTAAGCCATTGTTGTACCTCATTCGAATGTGAAAAGTTCCAAATATTTGGAAAAAAATTTTAAAATGTAGTAATTGATTATTCATAATAATGTGCTGTAGTAAAATATTCTGAAAAAATAATCTATTCTTTATGTTTTATTTTCGAACTCAAACGAAGGCTCAATAGTGAGCATAGTGTACTGATAGTTTTCAGCACAAAATAATTAAACTTTAAAACACTGAGATATTTTTTAAATTTGTTTTAGGTCAATTTTATCTTTCCCGAAACATCGACTCAGTTTGATGTTACATGTTTGTACATGTTACAATTAGCCACTATTTTACATATGGTCAAACCATGGAAAACTCGGGCCACATTACGTGTTTTTCTATGTATCGATGCTATTAATGACAATTCATTACGCACTCAACAGCGTTTAGATGAACTACTAAGACAATTGAGAATAAATGCTCAAACCCGAATGATTGCTTGGGAAAATGTGACGAGTTTACGTACAAACAGCACGACACAATCTACCACAACGACTAATACATCTGATGCTGCTACATTGCCCTTCGATATTCCACACCAAAATCAGCCAACTCAATCTTCTTCTTCTACCGAATCTATTACTCAATCTTTTATTGATACTCCCGATTCTTATATTCGCGGTATCAATGAACTTATCCGACAACAATGCGATAATACATCATGTTTGTTTATGTATCTACCTAAACCACCTCACGATAAAACACTAGCACAACGATATATTCGTTGTTTAGATTTATTATCGAACGATTTACCACCCGTACTATTCGTTCACGGAGTCTCCTCAGTGACTTGTACACATCTATAGCCTCTTTTGACCTTCATTCTGATACGTTTGCTAGAATAATTTCAAAAAATACTCCATATCTGCTCTTTGCATTTGTCTCCGTAAAGTCTCCTCTCCTCTCTCTCTCTTTTCTCCTTAAATCGCAGTCTGCTCGTTAGAAAATCTTCTATCTCATTCTTTCAGTCGTAATACGATCTGTTATAGATGTCTGTTTTTTAATACCATTTTACCATTTATAGAAAAAATTCTTTTTCCACTACTTCAATTTTATGTATGTATTTATTTATTTATTTATTTGTGCGTGCTTGTGAGATGTATATCTTGTTCTCTATGTTTGGTCATGCACAACATATCGTTAAAACTGTATGCAGCAACTAATTAAATTTTTTTGATGATATGCAACGACGAGATAGAGCTTACTTTTAGTTTTTCTGTATGTCATATAATTGTTTTTTGGTTTTCTTAAAGAGAATTCATAATAACGTTTTTATTTTTCTAAGTTCTTTTCCCAATTTTCTTTAAGGTAATACTTTTAGATGGGTCTGATTAGTTTCTTTTTTCTTCTCTGCTTTTGTCTACACTAAGTGTTTTTCTTTTCGTTTTTTTTTTGATAATTTTTTTAATATTATGTGTGTATATGCACATATACACGAGTGCTTTTTGTCGAATTGTTTTTCTTGCTTACGCAGCAAAATGTCACTGCTTTCTTTTTTCTCCTGTTGTTTGATATGTAATATAATAATAATAATAATAATAAAAATAATATAAATATTTCTTAAACTATTGATTCATCAACCACATTTCAAAATCGAATTTATTGACGATTCAAGCAAATGTTGATTTTTGCACTAAATAAGATTTAAAATGCAGATTTAATGCTTCGATGTTACGCGAAAACGGGAGAAGTAGATTTAAGTTAATATAAACTTTTATTCTTTCTATTGAGGATATAGAATAGGTTATTTGATTTTTGCTACGTTTAGCGCATTGTTTTATGATAACTTAAAACATCTGAGAATTCAGTATAAAGTGTCAGTTTTAACACTAAATACATCAGTCGAGTTAGAAGAACAACAGAATGAGAGTGAATTTTGAATTGATTAACTTCACAACACAGTATATCATAAAACATCAGTCGCATTACTTCTTTCAGATGCTGCCACTCATTAGTCGATCGAAGGTGTTACCATGAAAAAATTAGCTTCTAACTATTTTATGATTTATCAGCACACACTCTATTTTATACATTAAACAGTTTAAATATGGGATTAAACAATATTCTCAATTGTCATTTTAATTATACAACGAGATAGATGGCGAAAATTACATTATCATTTTAACAAAAATGAACTATTCCTTTATAAACGACTATAATTATTTAGTCAAACTTACAGTATCGAATATTTTTCACTTCAATGGGTTCTGTAAACATTCATATTGAGAAATGAACGAACCAAAATCTTATACTAAAACCAAGTTACGTAATTTAGATAAAAATTTGTAATGATCTGAACTAAGAGCAATGAAACGAAGCTTTGAAACTGTTATATGGTTTATTTGATGCAAATATCCTATTTGTATGTGATACACAAACACTTTGCACTTGATTTGAAACAAATAAAAGGTTATCAAAGAATATTATTCGAATCTTGGATTGTCAACAGTTATAAGAATTATTGCCGGTGATGAAAAACAAAGAATTGACATTAATATCCTATTATCACTCTATAATCCATAAAGATATAGTTAATAATAGAAAATAAGTAAAAAATAATATTTGAACTAATATTATGTGTATTGAAACACTTCAAAATGTTTAAGTTTCCAGTTGAATTTTTCTGTTGTTGATTATATTCAACATTGTTTATCAAATCTAAGAAACAACAAAAATCTTAACATCAAAACGACATCATCATTGTTTAATAATTTATTTTCTATTATTGTCTATTAGAAAATTAATCGTCTTTAAAAAGTGGACACATATTGCAAATGACTGACTAAAGTAGTGTACTTTAGTCAGTCATTTGCAATATGTGTGATTTTCAATTATTTGGTAGTTGAATACATCGGATAAAATAATTAGAAATTTTGAAAAACAGTTTAGATGAATGATATGTTTATATTTTCAATAGCAAACTGTTTCAGTTTATTTATTGAATAAAAATAAAGCTATTCATCGAATATTGTTGGTTTAAACAATAATTTCAACAATATTCTTAACTGTTCATCGAATTAAAACTAGCACGAATGGCTTATGAGATTTCTATCCAATTTACTGCATGTTTGTATCGAATTGGGTCCTGTCGCTATGATGCATCGCTACCATAACGTTGTTCGCTCAAATTTTAGGGAAAACCGGCTCCATTTAGAATCCAAAAAATATATGGATAATTGATTTATTACTAAAACTATTGGAATATATGTTCATTTGGTCTGTAGTGTATTTGGTCTACATGATAAAGGATCAGTTTTCATCTGATTATCTAGTTTTGTAAGATTTATTATAAAAATAGAATCAAAATAATATTTACAGTGTCGTTTTACGGTAACTCCTGTAGAACGTACATGATTAATGTTTTTATTGCTCACCTATATGGAGTGGTGAGGTTTTCAATTGAGATTTTGTAGTTTCCTACCATTTCAATATTAATAAATAAACAACTCCATCAACAACATTTTGCTAGTTTAACACTACTAGTACTTGGAAATCGAAAATCTTTTTTAAGATAATAGAAGAATGTATAATATACGACTATGAACATACTATTAACAACAAGTTTATCCAGGAATCTACCGAATTTTGTGATGAAAGAATATCAATAAAGTTAAGAACAATCACAACTGATTCTTATCTGGCAAAAATAACGAATTATATAATAAAATTTGGTTTTATTAACTAAAATTATAACATCATTAAGAAGAATAAATTAAGTTTAATTAATTTTGAGATTGTAATATTATCAATAAATGACAAAAATATTTAGATTTTTTGCATAACTCTAAAGATGTATGAGTGTAAACGAGTATTAAGAGAGTATATTAGGAAGAGCAAACAGGAAAAGAAAAGGACTCTTGAAACTTTAAACTTGACGATTACTATGGATTTATTGTACATTTTTAGATTCTAATGTCTACTGGTGATCAAAAATCATTTATTTACAATAATCAATGGGCCATGGTTACCACTCACGGTACCATTCTTCCATCTGAGTGTTCGAAACGTCAAGAATATGAAGAAACTTTATCGACAACACATTTACCTGACATGGTATTCGATAAAACCACATTAACAGTAACATATTTAAAAAGTAATTTAAAACTTTCATTTAATGTTTATGACGCATTGAAATCCATTGATATGCATACCAGTGATGAAAATATTCCCAAAGTATCAATGAGTCAAACATGGATCGATGCTCGTCGTGAACAAAAACAAGATTTAGATTATGTGAAACCGTACGATTGGACATACACGACAAAATATCGTGGAACATTAATCAATAATGATCAACAACAACAACAATGGCACCTAGAGAGTACAGAACAACCGCTGAATTTAGGTAAGATTGTTTTGTAATTAACGGATGATACAGAATAAATCACCGTGTTCGTATTTTTTGCATAACTTTTTCGTTTTTGATCGCATAGACTTAAACTTCCTGTTGAAAGATTTCTAATTTCATTCTCTACAAAAAAAGATATATTAAATTCTATATACTGTAAAAGTAAAAAAATATGGTGCGAAGCGAAAATATGCGAAGCGTCAATCTCGACAGTTTTCTAACCCCAAACAAACAACGAAACAGATCTATGTTGAATACAGTGCCATGCATCAGACTTGAATCAAAATGTATGTTCTAATACTTCGAAATGTCTTTCTTCTCATGTCTAATAGCTTTAGCTTTGAACATGTTTTTCAGTGCGAACAGGGAATTTATCAAAAATTCACCAGAAAAAGAGTAGATTTCACTTTTTCGCTTGAGCACACGAGAAGAAACATTTGTTGAACATCCTCTGTTTGGATGTTACAGGAGAATAATTTTTTTTTTTAATCAGAATGTTTGATTTTGGGCGAGTTAGAAAAAGCTTATCAACTGCCCAAAACATGCAGTGCCCAAAAGAGATGACTTTTTGACAAAATCGATAGAAGAAAAAAATCTCCATCTCAACCACTTTTGATTATGAAGAGTTATAAATATAACTGGTTGATAAAGCTTTTCAAAATGTCTATCTTCTCTTTTTTATATTTCAAAATATGAAGGGCGGAGATTGGAAAGACTGTTTTCTGGGTAAGAAAATTGTCGAGATTGATACTTCGCAGTATTTTCCCCATATTCTTTAGTTTTACAGTATATAGAATTCAATATATCTTTTTTTGTACAGAATGAAATTGGGAATCTTTCAGCATTTTAAGTCTATACAATCAAAAACGAAAAAGTTATGCAAAAAATACGAACATGGTCATTTATCCTGTATCATTCGTTATCTGTTACTGCATGCGAAAAATGGTGATACGAATGCTGATACGATACTAGAGTACATTGAAATTATTTATTCTAACGAGCAACTTTAATTTCGTTTAAGAAAAATTGAAAGAACAAGAAAAGATATTATTCTATGACGAATTGACATTGTACGAAGATGAACTGGCTGACAATGGTATATCCAATTTATCGTGTAAAATCCGATGTATGCCAAGTGGTTATTTTATATTGTTAAGATTTTATATGAGAGTTGACGGAGTAATGATTCGATGTAACGATACACGATATCATTATGAAATGGAAAACGATTATATTTTACGAGAATATATTGAGAGAGAATCAGAAATAAAAAATTTAGATTCTCAGGTACAATATACAACGGATGTTAATCAGATTATTCCTTATTTAAGTGTTAAACAACATCAATTAGAAAGACTGTATTTTAGAAATAAATAAATTCTTAAAAACGTCATAGTATTATGTAAATAAATCTATTGCCCTTTTTCAAATAAAACCAACAACTGTTAATCTGCTAATGTCACAATCATGTTTTAATCTGCTTTTTATTCTTGATAATGTTTTGATATATTAGATTTAAATTTGTTTGCCGTTATGGATAAAACTAGATTCTTCTGAAATGAAGAATTAGATTCGAGTATTTGAGAAATATTACTACTACCATTAGCCATTTAAAAAAAAGAATTGGCCTGTAACTGGAACTGTAAAAATGGCCCGTAACTGTTTTTTGAATAATTTTAGAACAAAAAGAGATAGAACTAGCTTTCAATAGCGTGTAGCCAAGAATCCAGAGTATCTGGTTTTAAGCAAAAACATTTTGAAAAAATTTCACAGATCAGTTTTCAAAAAGGTCCCTGGAAAACCACCGTGTAAGTCGAAAATCTGGAATAGTAAATGTTGATTTTTTACATGGATAGATAGAGAAAAGTGTCCTCTTTATAATGGAATCTAAGCGATCTCTTCATCTTTCTTGGTTCGGTGACAGGGCGGATTTTTCTTAGACTGCCAACGATAGCTTGTAGGATAAAGCTGAAAACAAGTGGAAACATAGGTTATCAACCCTCGGGAATCTCATGGCAATGTTTGTTATTAGAGAAACATTTGAAAACTTAAGTTTTAGAAAAATTAGAGTTTTCAGACTGTTTTCATGTAATATTAAAAAATTTATAATTCAATGAAAAAAGCACTACAATCAGCCCAAAACTACAGGATGTATAGCATTTAGACTATGTTATATCCTATTTATAAAAGATCTATAAAAACGAACTTACTTGAAAGGATTTTCAGAAAACTTCTGGACAAAAGCATAGTTTTTCAATTATTTGGATCTAATTATCTCACGTCTAGCGAGCAAAATTAACTATTTATTGAGGTTTTGGGCTGACTCTACTGCTTTTTCACTGAATTGTGAATTTTTTAATATTAAATGAAAACAGTCTGAAAACTCTAATTTTTGTAAAACTTAAGTTTTCAAATGTTCCTCTAATAACAAACATTGCCATGAGATTTGCGAGGGTTGATAACCTATGTTTCCACTTGTTTTCAGCCTTATCCTACACTACAAGCGATAGCTGGCAGTCTCAGAAAAATTCGTCTATTCTTTTTTTAAACGGATAATAAGTACAAGAATGTAGTTCTATAGTCAACCTTTGAACATTTAAGTATGCCTGAACGATCAAAACGTGTGAACATCCACACATTGCATCAACAAATGCTGTATTTTGATGGTATTCTCGTACGTTTCTATACAAATGGGGTTCGTGTCATTTGTGATGAATCTGCGGCACAAAAATTATCTCGTTGATAATTTCTTTTTCTCACATTACCCAGACCAATCTGGGCACAAATAATCCCATCATCCTAAACAAAACCCGATACTTCTTGTTTATTTTCCACTAGGGTTCTAATACGTTTCTGTTAGAATCTTAGATGGTAGGATCCTACTAGAACATCACTTAGGTTTGTTTAAGATTCGAGGAAATCCTACAGATATCGAATATTGCTTCATCAACATCCTGTTCGATTTCGTTGAGATCCTAAACAAACCTAAGCGACACCCTAGTCTGATTCTCGTAGAATATGTCTAAGATTCTGTCAGGAAAGTCATAGGGTACTGTGCGATACCTTTGTACGAGTGTTTCCAATTGAACGATCAAACTAAACGTCAAAGCCTCACATTACTGCATCTCATACCTGAACGACAACTACCATGAATTATACTAACAGTTACTCCCACACGTAGTGAATAGCATTCATTATTGGCAAGATGAAGAGGTTGAGTGGTAGTTGATAGTTTAATAGTAGAATGCCCTATATCTAGATAGATATAAACGTCGAAATGAATGGTAACCAATCTGATCTTGTGAACTCTATCGAACGAATATGGCCGAGAAGAAATGCAATAAGGACTCAAGCGTTTCGATTTAGAGATATCATGTACCGTTGAATGTTGAATTTTCTAAAAAGCTAAAGTTCTCTACGCGACGGGAGGAAGTGATGTTCATGCGGATAAAAGCAAATTTTCCACCGCTAAATTACTATCTCCACCGGCGCAGTTATGCAGTTTCACCTAAATGTAATTGCGGAAACAATAGGGAGGATATCCAGCATTATTTTTTGCACTGTTTCCTATATAATGCTCAACGACAAGATCTTTCACAAAAACTTTCTTTTATGCCTATTTTCTCAGTCGACACCTTGTTACTGAATGGCCTAAATTTTGACCATGATACTTTAGCATGTTTACTGAATACAGTCCTCCTGTATATTCAACAAACAAACAGATTTGAATAACTGCAGACATAGTAATTTTTATCATATTCATCCTTTCTCTGTCATCTAGCCTATCTTCTTAGTCTTCCTGGTTTTTTTTTGGTTTTTTTTTCTTTCTATATTGTTACTCTTTTGTTTTCCTTATCCATAATTATCTTTCTGTGAGCACCTACGGACAACATCTTTATTATTGTTAGGTCCATAATGGTCTTTGACCGCCGACCTTTCTTTATCAGAATCAATAAAAATACACAACAACTGTTGAATCAGATACTGTCGAAAGAATGAGAAAAATTCATATTTGAACAGCATCACAAATCGTTACTTCCCGAATTCCGCACACTTTTAATTAATTTCAAATTGAGATCAACGAATCTTCAAAGGTGGCACGTGGGTGCATGGGTGAAAATGTGCGGAGTTTGGGAATGAATCTCACAAACACGTTCAAGAATGCTAACCCTACATCGACTTTGATGAAGTGATGTGAACTTCCATAACGTTATTGAAACTTTAAGAATTCTCAGAATGAGTGTGGGAATAGTGTATTAGATAAAATTCGTTTCACTCAATTGTCGCAAAATTTTCCCGTGATTAGAAAAAAAAGTTAAAAGTATATTTCCTTTCAAATATTGTGGGCAACTTTTGTGGCTTATGCTCAATTGTACTTTGACGTTGAGATAACTAACAAATGCTCTAATGAACATTCTGTTTGACTAAAGAAACTATAAATTTTCCAAACGATAACGTCACCATGTATATTTGGATAGTTTAATTCATTCGACCATCTTTAGTTACATTCTACTCTTATTCAACGAGTTGCTTTTTCTTCAAGCATTATACACTAAAGCATTAATACTTGAAACGCGTGATCAGATGAGTCGAGATTAGAAAAAACGTTTTTCCAGGAGGGTAACGCTCAAAATACAAATGATATAAAAATGAATTATATACCAAATTAATGCTCATCTAAAATGGGATTCCTGAATATAATTGATATTTCGTATGACGGTTATTGACTGTAGAATTCTGGAAGTTTCTATCGGGTGCGTCTTAATGAATGAGCCTCTCAGTATTTTCTATTTTTCTCGTGTTTCTTTAGGATCTCACGGTTAGTGTTATTTTAAAAGATGCGCTACGAAATACTCTACAAAATCATACCTAAACTTTAATTTTAGAACCTTAAT